CGTAAGTTCTTTTTTTGGGAGGGGGGATAAAAGATGCATTTTGATTAACGATTTACATTTGCAAGATTTCATAGCATTCGATTTTTCAGTTTAAACTCAAATTTAAGTTAAACCTGTAAAATTAGACAATAATCAGTCCAGTAGTTTCGGCGATTGTCTAATAAATGTGGACACAGATGACGGACGACTGACAGACGGAAACGGGAGACATAATATCTTTTCATTCTCTAAGAGGTTTTTTTTTTGTGGCACCAGATCCTTAGAACATCCTGTATAAGAAAATATTAATTGATGATAAAATATTTAGGGTAGTCCATTTTTTCTTACTTTACTAGTCGAATTTACTTTTTTAGAATTAAAATTTAGAAACAGGTTTAAAAAATTTACGACGCTTTTTCACTTTAAGAAGTCCAACAAAGTTTGAGGGATATTTTTATTAACTTTTTAAACAATTACGACGCGTCGTATAGACGTCACATATTTAATTAGTTTACGAGCTAACGCAAGGTTAATTACATCACATAATTCTTAAAAAAAAACAATACCGAAATTTAAAAATAAAGGCATTTCGTAACAAGTTTTGTCCATGACATTTGTAATAACAATGAATCGTTGAATTAAGAATAGCTCTTTGAAACCGCAGAAAGTCACAAAAAGTGTTTTGTGTGCCCTCAGTCGGTTTTCACAATCGTGAGGAATATAAACTGCGCGTCAAAAGTTAGGGATATTTTAATTAATTTAATCCAAGCTGAATCTATTTTTTCGAAAATTATAAAAAAAGTAAAAGTAAGCATGTCTAGAAATGAAAAATCAAAATTTTGTGATAACAATAAAAGTTTTGAGTTAACAAAGTGAACGTTTCAGGACAGGATATAAAAACATTTGTAACAACAAAGTTGAAATTCCAGTATAAAATGTTCAAATTTCAAGAGAACAAGCGTGTCGAAATGTCGGGATATTGATTTAAAACCTCAAAAGTAGTACGAAATACATAGAAAAGAACTTCTTTCCAGCAAACTTGTGATTTATAAAAATGCTTAGGAAATATGTTTCTACTAGAAATTGCTGAAAGTAGAAATTAAAATTTCTAGACAGGATCTGGAGACGTAAGTCAAAATTTTTTAACTTAGTTAAAGTAGAACTTCAAAATAGTGATAAAAATTGGGAAAAAATAAATCAAAATTTGAGATACTAGAAACTAGATACTCGTAGTTGCCTAAAAACCCACAAAAAATTCTAGGCCATTAATCTTGACGTGCTGATTCAAAAAATACATATAGCGCGTTTCCTGGACCAATATTTTCGAAATATTCGGTTTCAAATTCTAATTTTTCAAAAATTCTAAAAATCGCCATATTTTATTTGGCGATTCTGGAAAAATGGTAGGAACTTTTGAAGAATTGAAACCGATAATGACTTCTAGAGTACAAAATCTACAAAGAAATCCTTTAGGTAATTTTCGAAAATGGTCAAAAACTGTCGAAAATTTCATGAGTACCTACTGAAAAATCGAGATTTTGGAAATGTTGCCTAAAAATCCACAAAAATTCTGGGATAGAAATCTCGACGTGTTGATTCTAAAAATATAGCCTCGGTCTCAAATTCGAATTTTTTAAAAATTCTAAAAATTGCCATTTTTCATTTGGCGATTCTTGAAAAGTGGTGGCAATTTTTAAAAAACTGAAACCGAAAATAACTTCTAGAAATCGGAATCTACAAAAAATCGCTTACGGTAATTTTAGAAAATCGTCAATAAAAGATCAAAAAAACAAAAACCAAGATTTTCAAACTGTTCCGTTTCGAATTCTATAGAATTATAAAAATTATAATTTTGCAAAAATTCTAAAAATTGCCCTATTTCATTTGACGATTCTCGAAAAGTGTGAGCAATTTCTAAAGAAATAAAATCGAATGAGTTTTAGAGGTCAACAACAAAAATTCGTATAGACAATTTGGCAAAAATGGTCAAAAACGGTCCAAAAATTCATAATGGGGGAATATCGAAACAAAAAGTAAAAATTTTTTAATAACCAAGTCGAAATTGCGAAATTGTAGAACGAAATCTTCATTTGTCAAATACAATAGTAAAAAAATAAATCAAAATTACATAGTATGAAATCGAAGGTTTGAAATAATAGAACCAAAATTTTCAAATAAGAATAATCGTTTTTGAATTAACAAAATGAAGATTTTAGGATAGCAGATCAAAATTTTGAAGCAACAAAGTCGAAATTTTAGTATAAAATGTGTAAATTTCAAGAGAGCAAGCGTGTCGTAATAATAAATTCAAATTTAGAAATGGTGATAAAAATTGGAAAAATAAATCAAAATTTTAGACAGTAGAGAATTGCCTAAAAATCTACAAAAAAATCGCTATATTTCACTGGCGATCCTGGAAAAGTGGTAGGAACTTTTAAAGAACTAATGCCCATAATGACTTCTGGAGTTCGGAATCTACAAAAAAAATCCCTTCAGGTACTTTCCGAAATTCGTCAAAAGCGATCGAACGGTATTGAAAAATCGATATTTTGGAAATGTTGCCTAAAAATCCAGAAAAATTTCTGGGATAGAAATCTCGACGTGCTGGTTCTAAAAATATAGCGTGGTTATGGTCTGATAGCAAGATTTTGGAAATATTTGGTCTCAAATTCGAACTTTTTAAAAATTGGAAAAATCGCCATATTTCATTTGGCGATTCTGGAAAAGTGGTCGGAATTTTTAAAGAACTGAAACCGACAATGACTTCTCGAGGTCGGAATCTATAAAAAAATCCCTTTAGGTAAATATTAAAATGGTCAAAAAACCGTCAAAAATTTGGTAAGGAGTATTGAAAAATCGAGATTTTGGAAAAATTTATGGGATATACATCTCGACCTGTTGATTCTAAGTATAGCGTGTTTAGGGTCTTGCACCAAGTGTTTCGAAATAATTAGTCTCAAATTCGAATTTTGCGAAAATTTTGAAAATCGCGGTTCTGGAAAAATGAAATTCCTTCTGAACAATTGAAATCTAGAATGACTTCTAGAAGTCGAAATCCTCAAAAAACCCATTGAGTAATTTTCGAAAATGGTCAAAAAATGTGCGAATATCGAAATAAAGAGTTTTTAAGGAATTTTTGTTTAACCATGTCGAAATTGCGAAACTGTAGAATGAAATCTTCGTTCGTCAAATACAATAGTAAAAAGAAAGTCAAAATCACAAAATGGTACCTCGAACGTAGGAAATAATAAAATCAAAATTTTCACATAAGAATTTAAATTTTGAGTCAACGAAACAACTTGTATGTAATTTATAAAATTTCTGAAGGGATAGTAATATAATTCTACAGAAGTGTATTGAAACAGAAATTACTAATGGTGGAAATCAAAATTTCGGGATAGCAAGACGAAATTTGGAATCATTAATCAACATTTTTACTCAATTAAAGTAAAAATTTGAACATAGCAAGTTGACATTTCGAATTCATCATATTAAAATGTTTAAGTAATAATTTAAACTTCTAAACAGTGACAAAAATTTGGGAAAAAATAAATCAAAATTTTGGGCAGTCAGTAAAATTTCGGTTCAGCAAAATGAAATTCTAATTCGCCCAAATATTGAGGCAAGATAATATTAAAAAAAAATTATAGAAATTAGAAACTTGCGAGCGCGAGCTAATAAAATCAAAATTTTCTCATAGTAACTGCCAATTTTGAGCTAAAAAAATGGAAATTTTAGGACACCAGGTCAAAATTTAAAAACAAGTAAATCGAAATTTCAATATGAAAAATGTAAGTAAAAAAGTAAAGTCCAAACTTCGAGGTATTAATTGAAAACCTCAAAATTAAAACACAAAATATTAAAAAAAAAACTTCTATGATATGATGATGAAGTTGTAATTTACAAAAAGCTGAGATACTAATAGAAGTTAGTATAAGTAAATAAAATTTGCTGACGGTAGGAATAAAAGTTTCAAGAGACCATCACGGAAATTGGAAACAGGTCAAACTTTTACCTAACTAAATTAAAACTTCAATTAATCACACTAAAATTTTGAAGTAATAAATTCGAAATTCGTAAAATTTCGAAAAATTTCATAACAAAAGTAAATCAAAATTTTAGAATGTCAGTTAAATTTCCATTCAACAATGTTCAAAATTGTATAATGAAATTCTAATTCGTCAAAATTTTGATGAACCACAATATAAGAAAAATTCAAACTTAGAAAGTAGCAATTTAAAAGCTTGAAACTAAAAAACATAATTTTCAGATAATACTTGCAACATTTCAGGAGAGTCGAAATTTCAGTATATTAATTCGAAACTTCAAAAACTGAAACAAGAAATATAAAAAAAATAAAACTTTTATGATATGAATTTGTAATTCACAAAAATACTAAAGAGACAGAAATGTTTCGAGGTAGTACAATCAAATTCCGAAATACTGCCAGAAATTAAGTAAATATAAATCAAAATTTCGGAAGTAAAAGTAAATTTTGAAGTAAAAGCGGTAGAGTCCTGCAATAGAAGCGAGCTACAATATTATTACATTAATTTCCGCAGAGTTACTGTAGAAAAAAATATTCCAAACTTTATCTTTTATGAACGAAAAAAAATTTTTTGTGAACTGACTTGGACGTTTTTTGATAATTTCGCCATAGACCCTACTTTTCTTCTAATACTCACTAGTGAAAAAACTATGTTTTTTCTTTATACATAGTGTGGGAATAATTCCACTTTCTCAACTGAAAGCGAATTTTTTTCAGTTGGTGTTTAATTTCCAACGAAAGTAATGATTTTTACACGATAAAGGATCTCAGCGTTGTGCAACATAACGAAATCCAGTGTTACTTAATACAAATGGCATAAAACAAAATAATTATGATACCTAGTATTCGGACACCGAATATCTTTTCCAAAATGGTATCTTTAGTATAATTTTTTTTGTTTTTTTTTACAATGTTTTAACCAAATTTATTTCTGGATGCAGTATTGTATGATGATTTTTTGGTCATTTTTCAGGTGTGGTTCCAAAACGCCCGCGCCAAATGGCGGCGGATGATGCTGAAACAGGAGGGTAAATCCGGCGACAAATGTTCAGGGTCGGAGAGCATGAGCGACCTCGACTTGTACCCCCACGGTCCTGGCTCCATGGCGTCCAGCATCCAGTCCATGGCGCCCCACAGCCCCCCGTTCATCCTCCCTCCCGGCAGCCCCTCGTCACTGGACTGCTCGTGAGGTCTACACAAAAATTAGAAAAAGTATTTATTTTGGTGACTACGATTGTGATTAAGAAGAAAGAAGAATCATTACTCGTGGACTGTTTTGTGTTAGTTTTTGTTTCGTTGTTATTAGGAAGTGGTTTGTACTTACTAAATAGAAATTAATTGGCGAGGGACACGTTTCCTATATTCCAGTGCAAAAATAGTTGAGGTTAATTATTCAAAGTGTCCCATCATTAATTATGTCGAAGACAGCACACGCACCAACTCACATGGAATCCATCAGTGTCAAAGCGGTTTTCTATTTTTGAAAGGATCGAAATCGTCACGGATTTTTTTTAAGAGAGAAAAACAGACGACAATAATTTCCTTCATTATTAATTTTAAGACACACGATACATTGTTCCTAAAAATAAATAAATAAAAATTTAATTTAATTTACTGTAAGGCGGCACTTGTAAATAAAAAGCAACTGTTTAACAGTCTTCCCTTCACCCTATTTTATCCGATTTGATTTTAACGAAATTTTCGATAAATTATTGTCTTCCTCCATCACGGCCAAAACGACTTTTTTATCAGATTATATTATTGTTTAAAATAATATTGTAATATTCATTGATGATAATTCCTCTTTTTTGTAAGTTTGCAAAGAATTTTTTCGTTATTGCTAATTATTATTTTTTTAATTTATTCGTTCGGTTGGTTTGTTCTTTGCAAATGCGTGGTTTTGATGTGTAAGTGGTTTCGTATGGATGGAAATTGTTGAATGTTGGCGCTACCTCGAAATTTATTGTATATAAAGGTGGTAGCATATTCCTATTAATAATAAATAATTTGACCATTTTAAGACTTCTTTTATTCTCCATACCTTTTCCCAGTTAAAACTTGAACTAATTTAGAATTTTATTACGCAAAAAAATGGCATCAATAAAGTATTAATATTTACCAAGTGGTTGTAAATCCTAGCAAATAAGTGAATTATATTATATCCAAAACCTATTTATAAAAAGGAAGAATTTCCGTTCTGATGAATCACAAAATTTTATTATTAGATATATTGAAACTATTACAGAACAGTAAACATTTTTTTGGACAACTTTACAAGTTTGTTTACCTGTGGTTTTAATGGTAATAGTTCTTTTTAAGTCATCATAATGAATTTAATTTAAATTGCTAATCAGGAAGAATAAAATAGCCGCAAATCTTATTGTTGAATCGCAGTCAACTACTAAATAACATCCTTTTTATAAATAATAAGTATTGTTTAGAAGTTATAAATATTTTGCCTGTGTTTTTATCGAATGAGTGATCAAATTTGACCCACAGCTTGAAAAACGTGAAAACCAATCATTATTTACGCCTAATCAGACAAAAGTCGAAAAATAAACAACCTCTGCAACAGACGTCATTTCCGTATTTACAAAATCACGTAAAAATTTCGTACACACCACAAAAAATTCCCACCATCCCCGCGAAACAAAGAAAAACAAACCAACCCCTTTTCCCAACGCACACAATTATCCCTAATTTCCACCATCTGCCTTTCATTACTCATTAATGCAGTAAACCCACGTCCGAAAACAACCCCTTGATGTCTCCAGCCACCGCCGTCGAAAATTTATTGGCACTTTAGGCCAAAAAACATCATCAATTGCGTTAATCAAGCCGTTGAGTGAATCAATTTGGTTGTTATAGAGATGTTATCTGGTTCCACCCCTTAGGTTTCGTAACGATGTACCGACCGGTCATTGATTCTGGCACAATGGGAGTTAATATGACCGTGTCACACTCGATCATGTAGACAACCGTGAACAGGGGTAAGGGCGCGTTGCCATAGATCTCGAGGGATTATTAAGCTGAGGTAAGCCAGATTAGGCCAACTGGGACCAGGACATATGCTTGGAGGGTTAAGACGTATATCTGACACGAACATCTGATGAATCTGATGCCGCTTGTCGTGGTGAAATTGGCAAGCGAGATCTGATTGAAATCTGTATTCTCTAGAGAGGTTTTTTCCGAAATAAAAACCCCTGGTGGTTAGTAAGTGTAGTGAAAGTTTTACCAAAAGTAGTGTAATAATGGGTAAGGATCACACTGTAAATTATTCATGGTATGGTTGCAGAACATTTTATGTAGTCAACAAAGCTAAAAATTTTACTTTGTTTGTGTTTATCACAGCTACAAAATAATGTTTCGATTAATATTGAAGTTGAAATATTTTTTTTTTTAATTGATTCGCCCATTGAATCAGCAGATAAATTCATGAAAGAATTTATACGAAGTGCTAGTTGATTGCAATTGGTTGAATAGTGCATTAATTTTTCTTTGTTATAGTTGAGAAAAAATCTACTCACCGATATTTTTGTATTTTATAGACATATATTTTATATAAAGTTCAAAGACGTTTTTTGGAAATACTTCTGTAATAACTGTGAAAATTCTTGACAGATTCGACTTTGTGTTAGATAGATATCTAATTTAATGCGGCCTACAACTATAAAATATAGTAAATTAATAAAAAAACTAGTTTCATAAGACGTTATTTCAAAATACGTATCCCAAAATTAGAAAACGAGTCTTCAGACGAGATTTCTAAGGGATAATGGTTTAAAATATTTTTTAAGTATGTATGTGTATAGTTTATACTGTTTTTTCTACTTCGCACCTTTTTTCCTTTTTAAAATAAAAATTGTTAATTTATAAAATTTTGGGGAATTTTGTCGTGGTTCGTGCGATTAATGCTAAATTGTAACATTTGAAGTCTAAATGTTCACAATAATAAATTATGTTTAACAGTGTGTGAACCCAAAGACAATCTTACTCTCCCCTAAATACAGTAAGTTGCCCAAAATAACGTTCGATTTATTTGGGTCCAGCAGTGACTAAATTTACACTTGTCTAGATGCTCCAGAGCTCCACAGGTGCAGCTAGCAATCAGAGGGTCAACTTTGCATAAAAAATGCCGATTAATACGATCAGGATATATTTGTTTAAAACTATTGGCGCATTAGCTTAATTAAATTTGTCAAATCACTTTTGACGGATGACAACATTAGATATTTTAAACGATCAACGTCCATTGTCGTATGTAGAGAGCGGATTTCTAGGTTTAATGCTTTTTGTGAAAAATGTAAGCACTTCAAAACTTTTTTATATCTGTAACTATGATACAATTTGGAGTCATTTGACGCATTTTTTTTTTATGCTTATTTGCTTTTTTTTCAATTTTATGCATATTAAAACTTATATGCTTATTTAATGCTTTTTTCTACGAATATGAGTTTTAATGCATATTTTGTTCAAATGCCGGCCTTGTCGGGATGACAAATACTTGTTAGTTAGCCGTATCATAACGTATGCATTTTACCTGGACTTGGCCATTGAAGTACACTTACTCAAGACCCTTTCTGTGAATAGGTTCCGGTCGTTTGGGTAATAAAATTTTATTATAGAATTGGAAAAATACTCCATAGATTTTATGACTTTAAATCCTTACTTCCGTTGATAATGAATTAAAGCTTTTAACCAGATGTTCTTTTTCGGCATTTTGCGGCAAGACCGTTGAAGATTTTCAAGAAAAAAGGATTACTGTACCCAACTACCTACCTTAAAATTTTTCTAATGGAAACTTTTAAGTAAATGAACCGTTTATTTCACAACCATCAGTCTATCGCATCTGTCGTAGTACAGTGTTATTTATACGTGGTTCTCCCTTGTTACATGTTGAGTTCTTTTTGGTAATATTATAGTAGCCTGCATAGATATTGTAGCCGTCCATAGAGTCGAAATTTGCGAATAAAAATAAAATAAAACCGGTTCAAACGGAGCCGACGGTGGCTTTCAAAGTCTGACGTCACTCTGGCACACGTTGCACAGAGACGTATTTAATATTAAATGTCATTTGTTCCGTTAATTTCTGAGCCGAATCTCGTCAATAAAATCGAAGCTTTGTTCACTGTACACAAGTTGTGGTATGGTACATGATACAAGTAAATATGGTATGGACATCCCATGAACCAAAACTCGTCTTCTTCTGCGCAACGTTATCTGGCGTCATGTGGAATGAATGACCTTTCACTTCTGATGTCAAATATCAATTTTAAGGGTTATGAGGCAGTTATGAGTTTTTGTGGTTATGAGGGTTATTGTTTATTGTTACCAAACTGATGCGTAAAAACAAATTGGTGGTTTGCTAGCGACCTAGCGTTGTTAAAAAAATAGCGGGGATGATAGCAAATAAGAAAATATGTATATTTCAGCCGAAGATACTCTGCAGAATAAAAATTGTGAAACATTGCAAATTGTTTTTACACTGATTGTGAATAGTAATAATAATTGTACAAAGAATCTCGTACATTTGGTAAGTACAAACCAATAATTTAATACACAACTATTAACCAGTATGGCGATCCTGTTACTGTCATTTGGCCGTCAATTGCCTTGGTGGTAACACGTCTTCCACGACTGTTTGCTGGTTACCGGTGACACTTTCTCGTTGAATAGGGCTGGAGTTACTTTGGGACTGGAATAGTGTTCTTTCCGGTCCGTTAACTCAATAATTCTAGTACAGTCTGTCGTAACCTCAAATCGTAAACACATCAACCTTTCGTTGACAGATAGCGAAAATTACTAGCCTCGCGCTATCTTTGTTTAACACATAGGTTAGGTTCCTCTCTGTCGAATTCCGACCACAGGCAGTTTGCCGTACTTTCTAAAAGTAATAGTAGATCTAGTGACTTTAGTTGGGCTCGGTAAATATTTCAATTTCCCGCCTGAATGCAGCCAGGTGACGTCAGCAAACCTGCGTATGTCCATACCATATTTACTTGTATCATGGTATGGTATATTCATCGTTGCGGAGGCAGGTGGAGCGAAAAACCTAGTCATCTTAGCAGCAAACACGCCTATAAACTAGTCCACGTGGACTGTTTGTTTCCTGTCATATTTTACTTTGCTTGAACCAATTGTGTTGCACCAAACGGTTATTACACTTGTTGAAATAAATTTTCAAACTTCCATCTTTCTCTAGATCATCGGTTTCGTAGCTGTGTGACAAATCGTTTGTCGTAGATAGAAAATAGTAAGATTACAGTGACCCTAACTGCCCATTCACAATGGACATAAGACATAAGAACGAGCGCATAACATAATTTACGTTTTTGGTCTGTGTCTGGCTTATGCTTATCTACGTTCACAGTGGACAGAGTGAACTCTGTAAGAATTGTTAAACTGCGCAAACGCAGAACGGAATAACTCCTGGCTAAACATAGAAACGGCTAACCTCAAACTGAGTCAATCAAAATATCTAACCTACAATTTCATACGATATTCGAACTTGACAACTCGCAGTACAGAACAGACTCGCAGTGTGAAGCTTTGATTATAATTTATATAATATAATCAAAGGTGTGAAGTGCCAAGTGCCAACTGTCAAAGGGAATTCAATAGCAGCATTCAAAAGTTCCTAGATTTTAACATAATTTTGACATAATTCGTGCACAAAGTTGAACTTGTTTCAACTTTGTGTACGCACACAAGGATTACATAAAACGTTCATAAGCATAAGAATTACGTTCGTCCACTGTGAACAGGAGTACACGTTTTCCATCGTTTCAACTTTATGTATTTATGTAAGCTTTATGTCCTTGTTATGCCTTATGTCCATTGTGAATGGGCAGTAAGATTTTGTGCAAACAGCCTTAAATACACCCCTGTGTGATATGACGCGTGCCGTAGTGACAGAACTTACAAGCCGTCGTCGGCTCCGTTTGAGCCGGTTTTATTTTATTTTTATTCGCAAATCTCGACTCTATGGACGGCTACAATATCTATGCAGGCTACTATACT